TGCTTTGAGAAGAAACTTCATTCTGAGCTGAAAAGTTTTTGGACAGTATTGCCATCTTTAGTTGAAATACTACATTTCCCAGAATTCACTTCTCTTCATCAGCTCACTGTTAAGAGCTAGCTTACAGACTCCATTTCCCATAGTTCTTTTTGGGTCCAGGAGTCAACCTCCAATTCTCTTTTACTGGACATGCTTTAGAAGTTTTTGCTTTTGCAACAAGAGATTTGAACCAAGAGTTTTAAGTTTTCAATTATGGGACATTGAGAGATTTCTATTTTCTCCTCAGCTGACTTTAACAGGTGTCTCTCATTCATTAGACACTGGCCCCGGATCAGAACCGAACCTGCCTCTTTAGCATGCATTGAGGCTGGTATTCCTGATAGCAACTTTCCTTGGGGCTTGTGTTTGCCTTAGCCAGTCAGTGAAACACAAAGTATTTACAGCAGGGCTTTTCCATAGCTCCTTCAGAGATTTTCTCCCACTGATCTTTATCTCATTTTGCTTGTTCCTTGCCCCCCAGATGCAGAGCTTCAGATATCTTGGGCTACTGTGTTCCTCTACTAGCTGCCTTTGGAGATAGGAGCTTTTTCTCCCCCCCCGAATCTGCCTCAAATTCTAGCAGCTTTTTCAGGTCGTGCATTTTCTAGGGGAGGATTATGTCCCTTCTCTGTTTCTTCAGAGTCTTTCTCCCAGACAATTCCCAGTTTGGTCTCAATTTATTCCTTCTGCCCCAGAAACAGTTTCCGACACTACAGTGGCGGCTTTTCCTGCTACTGAAGGTAGTAGCTTTTAGTCATTCTGTTTTCAAGGACTGTGTGGTTTGCATACAGACTGAAAATCAAGCTTCTGCTTTTTTAACAAGGACGGTTTTGCCATCTCTAAGCTGGCATTATGACAGGTGTTTTGCCTCATCAGGTGTTCACCTGGCCCAGTCCCCCAGTGGGTTGCATTTGTTTGGGTGCTCAAGGACAGAGCTTATGCCAGATGCAATCAACCCCTTAGGGCTACATTCCCTCATCTCACCGGGAGTCAGTTGAAACAAAGCTTTTCTCAAAAAGATGCTTTCTCTGACAGAAAAGAAAGCTTTACTCCTGGATAGTTCTCCATTTTGCCTTGGCTGGGCTCTTTCCCCAGACAGCATTCTTGACTCAGCAGACCAACTGCAGACACAGTTTGGCTTTATTGCTTTCCCAGAAAGGTCCTTTCTCTGATAGGAAAGCTTTGCTCAGATTTCTTTTTGCAGCTGTGGACCTATCAACACGGGACTTGTAGGAAAGCAGACAACTGTGCAGTACCCACTGGCTTTAGCTTTGTTCGTTCATTAGCAATCATCCCCTGGGTCCTGCACCTTCCTGCCTCAGCTCTGTGCTCCAGGAAGTTTACAACTGCAGGAACCCTAGTATCCCTGAAATGCATTTCAAGTCAGAGATGCTGGCCAGTCGCCTCTGGGTTGTTGGTCTGAAACGAGGATACAATGCTAACAGAGTTTGTATTGCTTCAGGGGATCTTTGCATTAGGAAGATTAGGAGCACCTTTTCATTCTGAAATGCTCACTCAAACAAAACCCTTGATGCCTCAGCTTGGCTGTAACTGAAAAGCTTGGCTTTTTTGCTTTTCTTAGTAAAGTTTCCTGCTCTTTTGGGCTCTCTGTAGCTCTTTACCCACACTCTCCCAAGCGTTTCCCTCAGGGAATTTTGACCCACTGTCTTTCACTAGCTTGAAGAGACAGAGCTTAGAAGAGAGGTTTTTAGGAACTCCATGACTGCCTCCTGCATTGCAGGGAGGATTTGTTGTTGTTGTTGTTTTTTCGAGACAGGGTTTCCCTGTGCAGCTTTGTGCCTTTCCTGGAACTCACTTGGTAGCCCAGGCTGGCCTCGAACTCACAGAGATCCTCCTGGCTCTGCCTCCCGAGTGCTGGGATTAAAGGCGTGCGCCACCACCGCCCGGTGCAGGGAGGATTTTTAAAGCTTGAAAAACAGAACTTAGAGAGGTTTTGTGGTCTTAAGTTTGTTGTTTTCCCTTTGAGCTAATCACAGGTGGTCCCCATACTAATATCTTCAGCTGATTCTAATTTTTGTCCTTCTGAGAGAGTTCTGAAAGGCTTTAGTTTTTAAGAGAGCTTTTAGTTTGAGAAAGAAAGATTAAGGCTTTTAAGAGATATTTTCCCCCCAAATTTTTCAAGAAAAGCTTTTAGTTTAAGAGAAAGTTTTTTTTTCCCCAAGAGAGAAAGACCAATTTTTCCCAAAACTTCTGAACTTTAAACTTTTTGGCTTTTTACACTCACCCCCATTTTTGCCTCAAGGAGAAAACACTTTCTCCTGCCGCTTGGACTTGGACTTAGCATTTCAACTGTCCCCAGGACAAAAGCTTCCATAGGAAACTTTTTTCTGCCTGATAAGCTCAGAGAAGAACTTTTTTACTACCCGTAAAGCCCAAAGAAAGATTTTTCCCAGTTTGCATTCATAGCCCCCAAAGTCAGAAAATTGAAGAGTTTATCTGTCTAGTTGCTTTTAGTTATCTTAATTTTTTTCTACACGATCTTACATTTCTAAGTTTTTCCTACACTATATTACTACACTATGCCTTATACTTATTTTTACAGATAGAAATTGAGAAAGGGATAGAAGATAGAAAATTATATTCATTTCATAACACCAGGCATGCCCTTTCCACTGGCAGGGCTGACTCACACTTTCACCAAAAACTCTGTAATAAAACCATTATTTTCCTTTATCTTTAGTCCCTATTATTTTGGTTTTAGTCCCTGTTCATTGGTCTTTAGTCCGCTTTTTTTGTCTTTAGTCCTTTTTTTTGTTCTTTAGTTTCTGTTCATGGCGCCATTCTGCAGGGCATTTACCCACCAACCCCACAGTTCCCCAGAGTTTTCTTGAGTGCAAGCAGCAGGAAATATTAGAAGGATTTAGATTGTGGAGATAAACAGGAAATACTGGATAGCCTCGAGAGGGTCTGGAACCTATTCCAAGGGGCCCTGACTGTCTCTGCCTCAGGGTATTTATAGAGACCCCAAGGGGTGGAGCAAAAGACCTCCCCCCAGAACAGCCAAGTGCAGACCATCTCAGACACCTGCACTCAGGCCCGTGGTCTAATCATCCTCTATGCAGACCTGCTGGGTAAAGCCACAAGGAACCTGAAAACGGGCTCCCACAACTGATATTAAAGACCTCTATTCTACTGAATTAGAATCTCTAATTGAAACATATATGAGTTTCCAGATGCACTTACTATATTAAATTTAAACATCATGAAATTCAGCCCTGAGACTGAAGCAGTAATAAAATGCCCCCCCCATGCAACCCAATGACCTGATTGACAGGATTCTAGCAAAACTTCAAAGAAGAACAGCAAATCTACATAAATACTTGAAAAAAAGGAAGATTTCCTAATATTAAACCAGATACTGATACAACCTAAGAGAAATTAAAGACTGACTTGCTCATTTACAAAATTTATATTATTGTCTCTCTTTCATTTCTCTCTCACACATACATACACACACAAATACACATATGATGCAGATGTGTGTAGATGTAATCAACCGTCTTATTAAATAAGAAACACAGAGCCGATTCAGAGAAGAAAGCCAAGAGGTCAGAGCTAAGAGCCTCACCCTTCCTGCTTCAGTGATCCTCTTCAGTCAAGAGAGCTCTCCAAAAGGGACCTACTTCCTGTGTGTATGTCTTTATATAGTCTAGCTGTTCTGCCTTCTCATTGGTTGTAAACCCAAACATGTGACTGCCTCATCACTGCCTGAATGTACAGCCCTCCAGGTCCTCTATGGTATTGAGAGTAAAGGCGTGCGCCACCGCCACCACGCACTTGCTATGGCTCTAATAGCTCTGACCCCCAGGCAACTTTATTTATTAACATACAATTAAAATCACATTTCAGTACAAGTAAAATACCACCACAGATGTGTATATGTGTGAGTGTGCTTCAAATACCGTCCATTCTCACTTCCTACCTCTGTACCATCCTGGCTCACAATTCCAACAAATCTCTGTTGTGTTCCTCTCCATTCATTTTTCTTAGGACCCACTGAGATTAACCAGGGACAATGTGAGACTGTGGGTTTGGATCTATGTGTTGGAGCCTAGTGGGCTCAGCAGAAGACTGCAGCTAAAGGCAGTGATTCTTGTACAATGCATCTATTGCCATCATTTGAGAGGTAAAGGGTGTGCTCTGTGAGCCTTTACTGATTACCACAGCTGTGTGGAGTCTAGAGAATGGCATGTCTTAGCCCTTCCTCCTCTTTCCCCTCTTATTTCCTTTTCTCCTCCTCTTCCTCAGTGTTACCAGAGCCATAGATGGATGGTGTAACTGACGTTTTTAGGGCTCGAACTCCATATCTTACTCATTTTCTGCATTTGGGACAGCAAGGGTCTCTGCATTCACCACTGCATTAAAAAATTTCCCCTATAGTTTATGTAAATGTGCCTTTAGCATTAGTCTAAAAAGAACTTGTTTGAGTTAGTAAAATAACAAGACCACCGTCTAGTGGTGACAGCAGTACAGCATGAACTCAGTCCACTGACTTCTGGAGACACCTATTTCTATTCATATTCAAAGTTCCTGAAATGTCTCTCCCCAAGGCACAAATGCAGTATTTGGTTTTGACTTGTCATGTTTGTGTTGTGGGTGGGACGCTGGCATCTGAATTTACCCTGTTATCTTTTGGTGTAAGCATGTAGCCCAGAAATCAAGTAATCGAGTTAAGGTTAGGCTGTCTGTGTTTTATCTGAAGGGCTCGGAACTCACTGTGGGGGTCAGATACCGGGGTGCAGCGTCCTCCTAGATCCAGTTCTGGTCTAGGCTGGCAGCGAGCATGTGGGGAGGCTGTGCAGAGCAGGTCCAGGGCAGCCTGACAGCTGGAGGAATGGGAGGGGCGGGTCTAGAAGGGCGGGGACATTCACCGGAAACAGCTGCTGGGAGGATGTGGCGCATTGGCTGGGTGTAGGGAAAGAGTGGAGCGTGGGCGGGATTAAAGTGGTGACGTAATCGGAAGCTGGGACACAAAGTGAACGCGGGGAAGTCGGAGAGTAACCCAGGTCAGCAGTGAAATTGCCGGTTCCCTGTCATTGCTCCGGGTCCTGCACCGTGGGGAACCGCGTGGTGCAGACCTGGGTGCGGAGGACACGGCGGGGTGACGCGGGGACCTGAAACCTCCCCGGAGCCACAGTCGCCGCGCGGGGCGGCCTGGGAAAGTCACCAGTCAGCAGCGCAGTGGCGGGAACCGCAGCCCGGTGGCCCTGGAACCTCCCAGGTCAGAGGAGCTGCAGGGCTGGGACATGGGAGGGGAGGGACCGGGGGTGCGAGCAGTTTCTCTGCTGTTCATAAGGAAGCCGGCTCCGAAGTTCTGCTGTGGATGTCTTCCCTTGGTGTATTTAGGTCATATGCAATAAGCCTGATTTTTTTTCAATTGATCTTCTGATTGCCAAAATATTCTTGTAAGAATAATCTAATCGAATATTTGAATTTATCTGTTGAGATTTGCAAGCACGATTGTCTTTGCTACGGTGGAAATGACAAAGCTCTTGAAATTTAAAATCATTCATACTAACTTCCGTGTTGAACCGCTTCCCTTTTATATACCCACCACCTTGGGAAGTTAAGCCACTTCCCAGAGAGTGGCGTATTTACCTGGAGACTTGGATTCTCTGAGGGCTTTTAGAGTATAGTCATGAAAGGAACGCCTGCAAATTTCACTGAATCTGAATAAATATATATATATATATTAATATATATATATAAATATATATATATATTCGTCTACCACAGTTTACTTGCAAACATTAACTTTTAAAAGTTAATTTCTGTCCACCGTTAATTTTCCTTCTGAGACATATGCATACTTGCTGTGGGATGTTCTGTATGGCAAATGTGTTGCTGATTAGTCAATAAATAAAACACTGATTGGCCATTGGCTAGGCAGGAAGTGTAGGTGGGACAAGGAGGAGAATAAAGCTGGGAAGTGGAAGGCTGAGTCAGAGAGACACTGCCAGCCACCATAAGGAGAAACAGCATGTGAAGATGCTGGTAAGCCACAAGCCACGTGGCAAGGTATAAATTAATGGAAATGGTTTAATTTAAGCTGTAAGAACAGTTAGCAAGAAGCCTGCCACGGCCATACAGTTTGTAAGCAATATAAGTCTCTGTGTTTACTTGGTTGGGTCTGAGCGGCTGTGGGACTGACAGGTGAGAGAGATTTGTCCTGACTGTGGGCCAGGCAGGAAAACTCTAGCAACAAATGGTGTCCAACGTGGTGGCAAGAGTTTCCACCTAAAAACTGAGAAAAAAGATTCTAAACCGGAGCTAAAAACAGTTCCTAATTGTCTTTCTCAAATGAGCAGCAGCTGCCAGTTTGATCTACTGGTGGGTTCCTAGCGTGTGCCCTTGACCTGCAGTATGGCGGGAATGAGGCCTCTGCAAGTGGCACATTAAGCTGCGTGGTGAATTTAGCCTTCGCTAGTACAAAACAAAAAAAGAGGTTTCTGGGCTACACATTGCTTGGCTAAAAGCATAGACCCCCCCCCCCCCCCCCCCCATAGCTCCCAGAGCTGGTGGTAAACCACCGCCATGTTGGGAAGCTGAGGTGGGTGGAGCCAGCAGCCACAACTGCTGCAGTTTAAAGCAATAGATTCACAATAAGACAGATTCAGATGTAATAGTTTACAATGTGCGTAAAAATGTACGTAGGCTTGAAAGAGAAAGAAAAAGGAATATATACAGTTATATAAAGAAATAAATAGTTTTTAAAAATAAAGTCTTTAAAGAGACAGTAAAGGTAGTATAAAAAATAAGCCATGTAAAAATGAATATTACACTGAGAATTTGGATTGTGTTGTCTTTGGGATTTTTAACTGCAGAAAAACATTTGATTGTAAAAGCTGTTGAGTTATGCCAAAATGTATATTTTAAAGATACCTTGACTTCAAAATTTGGATATAAGGATATGTTGCTTTGGAAAAGAGTCTCTTTTGTTCCCACAGAAAGCCAGAGGCTATGGATTTGTTCCAGATTAAGATACATCAGGTTTGACCAGCCAAGACCTCCTGAAGGTCTCTGATGACACCATGGCCCAGATGATCCAACATCCAGAACGATTTGAAGCAACTGGCTCAGATGATACACCCTCATGGACTATTCCATAATCCTAAAATTTTCTTTGTATCCCCATAAGATACAGCGCCCCCCTCCAGCAGGAAGTAGTAAGAGAAGCTACGCCCAAATTCCCAAATTATATGTAATTTTACTTTGTTAAGGTTAAAACCTTCCTTTTTGAAAAAAAAAGGGGGGGGAAGTGCTGTGGGATGTTCTGTATGGCAAATGTGTTGCTGATTAGTCAATAAATAAAACACTGATTGGCCATTGGCTAGGCAGGAAGTGTAGGCAGGACAAAGAGGAGAATAAGCCTGGGAAGTGGAAGGCTGAGTCAGAGAGACACTGCCAGCCGCCACGATGACAAACAGCATGTGAAGATGCTGGTAAGCCACAAGCCACGTGGCAAGGTATAAATTAATGGAAATGGTTTAATTTAAGCTGTAAGAACAGGTAGCAAGAAGCCTGCCACAGCCATACAGTTTGTAAGCAATATAAGTCTCTGTGTTTACTTGGTTGGGTCTGAGAGGTTGTGGGACTGGCAGGTGAGAGAGATTTGTCCTGACTGTGGGCCAGGCAGGAAAACTCTAGCTACACATACTGGGATGTAAATACAGCATTCTGAAAAGTGTCTTTGCCAGGCCTGGTGCAACAGGGCTTTAATCCCAACACTCAGAAGGCAGAGGCAGGTGGATCGCAATCAGTTGGAGGCTGCTAAGGTGTACATAGTGACTTCAAGGACAGCCAGAACTACACAGAAAAACACTGTTTTGAAAATGGAAAATAAATTAATTAATTTAAATAATAATAAATGCATTATAGTACAGAATAATAAAAAGCATCTTTTGAATAATAGTAATAATAATAATAATTATGATAACTCACCCATGTCAGAGAAATGTCTTCTATAGTTTTTTTTCTCCTTGGTCCAAGAAAGCATTCTGTCCATGGACACATGAACAAACTTATTTATTTATTTATTTATTTTGGTTCTGGTGTTTGCTGTGTTTGAGACCTGAATTCACAGTGTTGCTCTATCTGGCCCCGAACTCACCGTGTATACCAGGCTAGACTGGAAAACACAGAATTCCACTCACCTGTTTCTCCCAAGTGCTAGGATTAAATGTGTGCACCAACAGGATGATTCAAACTGTTGTTTTTTATTTTGTGGTCTGTTGACATCCTGTGGTGTGGCTTTTGACTATTCCCAAGTGGAGTGGCAATGCCTGGACCCTGCCCTGAGGGCTTTGTGCTGGGACTATGTTGTAGTGTTGTAGGAATTTAGCAAAGTCACAGTTTCTTGGATAAACATTAAATTGAACAACCATTTTTTGGAAGTACTTTGACCTTGAAGAATCCTTGTGGAAACAGTGAATGTATCCTGTGATCTGTAGAATTGTTTTTACTGAAGGGGCATTGTAGCCATCCTGAGACTTTGGTCACAAGATGTCACAGGCACACCTGAGACTTTTGTTGTGTATTGCAAAGGACACATAATAAAGGACTAAAGTCATGGGGGCATGTGATGCTTTCCTTTAGTGAGACATGTAAATGAGATAAGGAAGCTTGGTTTGAGAAAATACTTTGTGTAACTTTCAATAAATACACCTTTGTATGGGTGTTCTGGATTCAGTTCCTCAAAGTTTGGACCTTCTTAATGTCACATAGACCTACAATTTCATATTGGAGTGCCCTCTTTCTTCAACCAACCCCTGTTACACTGTACACCCTGACATTGCAGAATTACAGCAGTATACCTGGGCAGTGGTAGGGCATGACTCCTATCCCAGCACATGGGAGGCAGAGGCAAGTGGATCTCTGTGAGTTAAATTCCCGCCTGGTCTACTGAGCTAGGTCCAGGACAGCTAGGGCTGATACACAAAGAAACCCTGTCTTAAAAAACCATAAACAACAACAACATTAACAAAAAAGAAAAAGGAAAATTGCAGCAGTATAATTTTTTGTGACTGAGAATTGTTTGCTTGCAGTCTCCCTTTCTCCTCTTCAGTATTTGTTGACAAACTAATCTGCAAGTATGTGAGTTTTGTGTGAATGAGTCTCAGTCACACAGAATAAAGTGAATTTCACAAAGGAAAAAATAAAGAAATGTTCTCTCTTCTTCGTGTGTGTCTTTTTGGGAGTGTAAGGCTTCATCATTGATCCATGATCAATTCAGAACCTCACTAATGTACAATGTTCTCTTCCCAATCATTCAGTACCATTTCTGCCACTGAGTTTTGATTGAGCTGTGATTGGAAGTGGGATTCAAGTTACAATAACTAAAATGTTGTCTAAATATTTTCAGTGTTCTGACACTGCAGGAGTTGGGAAATCATTTATATAATCCTGTATTTACTTTTCTCTTTTCTCCTGAGCACAGTACTATGTTAGAAATTCAGGTTATTCCTCAAATTCTGTTTCCCATGTGCAGGGCTCACTGATCACCATGACCTGCTCACCTGTGCTGCAGAACAAAGTGACCTGGAAGGAGAGAGGAGACAGTAGCTAAGGATCCAGGTATGGTGGAGACAATGGTGAAGGAGTGGAAAGGGGATCAAGTGAATGTGGAAGTGGGACATGAAATCAGTTTTGCCACATTCTGTTTCACTAGAAATAATTCTGGAGACTTCCACTGAGAAAAATGTCCTCAGGATTATCCTAATGTAGTCATGTGAAGGCTTTCTTCAGAAGAATTGATAATGGAGTCAAATAAAGTTTTATTGACTATCTATGCATGTGAGTGATGCTGTCCTTATTCACATCAGAGATCATGTTTTCATACCATTATTAAATAATTTTCATTCATTGTTTTAATGTATTATAAAAATGATGAAAATTAATACCTCTAGGTTTATTTATTGTATTCAGAATTTTTGAGCTTTGGTATTCTAGCACATTCTCTACCTTTTAGTGTTTTTGTCTCTGTTACTGAAAATAATGCCAACAGAGTTTTGATAAGAATCAGGAACTATATTTACAGCCTACTTCACTGCATCTGTACTGCCTCCTCTTGTCTCCCATTGCCTGTTGGAGATTAGGATAAATATTTACAATGCACTAGGACTTATGCTGATTCAGTAAAGTACTGGTTGTAGGTTCTCCTCCAGGATCCATGCCTTTACTAGCCCTGGGGAAACAGGCTACGTTTCCAGTACCAGGCACATTTTCCCTCTTGTCGAGAGGGTCTTAATCCAAGTAGAAGCTGTTGGTTACAGCCTAACTATGTGTCCTACTCTTGCACCCCTAGGGCTATCATGCAGTACACATCATTGGTGTGGTTCATAGGTGTCATGGCTGGGTAGGACAGTTGTTTGGCTCCCTCCTTGGGAAGGTTACATGTCACCTTCTGATACCATGAAAGCTAATCCCCAGGGAAGAGGCTTTGAGGTGAGTTCCATCCCCAGCCCCCTAGGATTTGTCTGAAGTGTGTGGCTTCTTCAACACTAGGAACTCAACTTCTGTCTCTAGTAGGCAACGGCGGGCAACAGCAGTAGCCTGCAATGTTTGGAAGTTTCTTGGACAACTGTGACCTATAACTTCAAATCAGGTTTGTTTTTTTTTTTTTAATTTTATTTTTCTATCACCAGCTTGATACAGTACAAATTCTTATCCTAATAGTGAAATGTTTCACTGAAGTTTGCCCAGTGATTGAGTAAAACTAAAACTTATTATAAGCCACAGTCATCCTAGGGTCCCCTGCCATGTAGCCTCTCTGGTTCTGTGGGTTGCAGTATTCTTGTCCTTTGCTTTATATCTAGTGTCCACTTATGAGTGAGTACATACCATGTTTGTCCTTCTGAGTCTGGGTTACCTCACTCAGGATGATATTTTCTAGTTCCATCCATTTGCCTGCAAATTTCAGGCTGCCATTGTTTTTCTCTGCTGAGTAGTACTCCATTGTGTATATGTACCACATTTTCTTAATCCATTCTTCAGTTGACAGGCATCTAGGTTGTTTCCAGGTTCTGGCTATTATGAATAATGCTGCTATGAACATAGGTGAGCATGTATCTTTGTGGTATGATTGAGCATTCCTTGGGTATATGCCCAAGAGTGATATGGCTGGGTCTTGCAGTAGATCAATTCCCAATTTTCTGAGAAACCGTCACACTGATTTCCACAGTGGTTGTACAAGTTTGCACTCCCACCAACAGTGGAGGAGTGTTCCCTTTGCTCTGCATCCTCTCCAACATAGACTGTCATTAGCGTTTTTGATCATAGCCATTCTGACAGGAGTAAGGTGCAAACCAGGCTTCTTACCCCTGGTGTTGGTCATTTTGTTAGAAATTCTATGGCTCTTGTGAGGAGCATCATCAGTCCATTTGGGAGATTTTCATTTACACTCCAAATGTATAAGCTTACAGAGACTTAGATATATTATAGGCGTTTTTTGTTTGTTTGTTTGTTTATGGATGATAATAGTCAAAGAATAGATGGTTACTACAGTCATCCTGGTTGTTTACTCACATCTGAAGGTTTGGAGCTAAGCACTTCCTATAGAGAACATGGAATGTCTATCTTTCTAGGTCCAGGTTACCTCATTCAATATGGTCTTTCCTAGGTCCATCCATTTACTTGGAAAGCTCATTATTTCAATTTCTTTACATGAATAGTATTCCATAATGTGTATGTACCACACTTTCACTATCCAATTGTCAGATGAAGAACATTTGGGTTGTTTCCATTTTGTAGGTGTTGTTAGTAGAGCAACAATGAACATGGCTGAGCAAGTGTCTGTGGAGTAGGATATCGAGTCCTTTAGGCATATACCAAGGAAAGGAACAGCTGAGTCATGTGCTGAATTTATTTAATTTGAGATTTTGTTTATTTAAATGAGGATGCTCTGTTTTTATTTTTAGTGTGGCTTAGTGTTTTTTTGCGTTTTTATTTGCTATGGTTTCATTTATATGTTGTTGCTGGTTGGACTATTGGTACTATTTTTCTTCCCTCTTTTTGAGAAATAGTGGTTTGCTGTCTTACCCATAGATGATTACTTCACAGTTCAACTGTATTTCTCTATTCTTCATTTGAAATTTATTATTTCCCATGTTCTCACGAATGATTCCTCTGACTCTCCTGGATATATTTTGCCTCTAATTTATTATCTTCAGGGCTGTTTTTAGTGAAATGAATTGTGTTAATTGGTGACTATCTTGAAATGCACTTACGTCTCCTTCAATTTTTTTTTTTTTTTTTTTTTTTTTTTTTTTTTTTGGTTTTTCGAGACAGGGTTTCTCTGTGTAGCTTTGCGCCTTTCCTGGAACTCACTTGGTAGCCCAGGCTGGCCTCGAACTCACAGAGATCCGCCTGGCTCTGCCTCCCGAGTGCTGGGATTAAAGGCGTGCGCCACCACCGCCCGGCTACGTGTCCTTCAATTTTAAGAGAATAGTTTTCTTTGTGCAACAAGTTCCTTGATAGTGATTTTCTCTCCAAGCTTCAGATGTCTTTCCATGCTCTCCTGGCTTTGTAATCATTGACTGGACACCTGATAGAATTCTTTTTCTTGGGTCTTTTATGTGGTTGGACATTGTTCTCTAACAGCTTTCTGTATTAATGTTAACTTTTCTGTTTTGACCCCTTGATTTGAGAGGGAAGCGACCATCAATTCATTGTTCCTGAAAGAGAAAGCCAAAGAAGATAAACAGTTAGAAATGGTTGATTCTCCAGTAATCACGTTTCAGGTCAGTGGTCCTTTTCACTCTTTATCTAAAAGGGTTATACACTGATGTATTAAAAGTCTTTAATTTTCTGCTTCTGATACTTTTTGAAATTTTATTATGAGCTATTCTGCAAACAGAGAATCAACAAAATCACACACTGAAATTAAGCAGGTCCAAAGACTCTACTAGTCATTGTACTTTCTTTCTTTCTTTTTTTTTTTTTTTTTGGTTTTTTTGAGACAGTGTTTCTCTGTGTAGTTTTGGTGCCTGTCCTGGAGCTCACTATGTAGACCAGGCTGGCCTTGAACTCACAGAGATCCGCTTGCCTCTGCCTCCCCAGTGCTGGGATTAAAGGTGTGCACCACCAGCACCCGGCCTTATTGTACTTTTATACAGTTAGAGTCATCGTAGGAAACAGAAGTTCTGGAGCCTCACATAGGATTTTATATTTTCACAATCAAATATATTTTGATTTTTTTTATCCACCACCAAAAGCCCAAAAACTTTTCATAGAATTAGAACTTGAAAAGCACTTAACTTTGTATCCTTCACAACTGTTGTTCATTACCTTCATTCAGTCCCTTATATACATTGTTTCTGTGTACATATACCATTGGGTAGATTCTGCAGATGAGCGAAAACGTGGTGTCTTCTTTATAAAAGTGTATGACCACGCTTTGGTCAATTCATTTTCTTGCAAATTTTTTATTTTATTTTTTTTCTATAGCTGAATTTTCCTCCATTTTATACAATTTTCATTATCCATTCATCTGTTTATAGATTATTAATTTGATTCCAATAGCTTTCCTTTGGTGATTAAAACAACAGTAAGTATGAGGTATAAATATCTCTGTAGTGGGGTGTATTATTCTGTGGGTATATGGCCAAGAGTGAAAGAACTGGGTCATAAGTAACTTCTCTCTTCAATTTTTTCAATAATCTCCAAATGGATTCCCCTATGGCTGTATTCATTTGCACCCTCCCTCCCATCAACAGTGCATAAGTTTTCCTTTCTCTCCATATCTTCTCAAACATTTGTTGTCAGGTTAATTGATGACAGCCATTCTGTTTGGGATGAGGCAGTATTTCTAAGAAGTTTTAATTTTTGCTCCCATGGTGGTCTTCTGGGATCCTGAATGCTTTGCAGTGTTTGTTGGCCATTTGAGTTTCTGTCTTTGAAAAGCGTGTATTTGGTTCATTTGCCCATTTGTTGATTTGCAGTTTTATTTCCTTGGTATTTAATTAATTTAATTTTGGTAAATTCTTGCTATGAGCCTTATCTAAAATGTTATAGATTCTCTTAGCTATACTTTAATATGTTCTTTTATTTATTTTTGGGCTTCCCTCAATTTTTATTACTCATTGGGAGTGAAGTGAAATACTATTCCAAACTTCTGAAATTGTTATTTGTCTCTGTTGGCTTATGCATACAGAGATATTCCTAGGGAAAATTTGGATTATATCAAATATGACTGATACAGATTTTTCTGTCTGTTCATAGTAGCCCAAAAATTTCCTTAAAATTATTCCATAGACTACTTATCTTAGATGTTAAAGTTTAAATGACAGTATGTAGTGCTGTTACAATCCTTGCCACTGTGGAAAAAAACCAAAACTCTTTGGCTACAACTTTAGTCATATATTCTGTCTTCTAAACCTATACCTTTGCTGTTTAATGGATGGCATTGTACCTAGACTTTAAACATCCCAATTGACGCTGTTAGAATAGAGTCACGTAAGGCCCAGTTCACACATTATTTATTTGCATCAGTATTTTAGCATGATCTACAGGTACAACATTTAAAGCACATTTCCTCATCATGAATTTTCCCTCTGAGACATGTCTGATGTAATCCTGTGTAACGTAAACACAGAATCCATAACAGATAGATAACCATGTGCAGACCTTAAATGTATTTAATGTTTCATGTATACTGCTTATAAGACTATTGTCTCAACCTGTTTTTACAGAGTTAGAACATTCATGATAGAATGTGACCGTATTAGAAATCTTCTCTTTGAGTAATTATCTTCGCTCATCTATATTCCATCTCATTATATCTAGGAAAGCACTTCCAAGTAGCCTGTGGTCAAACCATACTTTTTTGTTTCAGGGTCTGTTGACATTCAGGGATGTGACTGTGGACTTTCCCCAGGAGGAGTGGGAATGCCTGGACTGTGCTCAGAGGGCTTTGTACATTGATGTGATGTTGGAGAATTACAACAACCTGGTCTTTGTAGGTGAGAACATTTTGCTTGTAGAATTCCTAACCCATCTTTTTTTTTGTTCCGCCTTCATAGGATGTAAAATCTGTTAGGCTGTCCTGAAAAAACCAACGGGAGACAAGGCAAAGTTTAGTATTAGGAAAGAACTTTTTTATGCTATTTAGTTTTCTCTTTCCATTTTCCATTTCAGAGGTATTATCCATCCTTCATTTTGGTTCCAAGATTCATCCATAAACTCAGTAGCATATAATATTTTCACTCATATCTTAAACCTCCGTGTCCATTATTGCAATGATATGGTTTTATTTGTGAGACAAATTCAAGATATATAAACAGAAAATGCTAAATATACTGAAATATGTGACTACAAATATTAATCAGGAATTCTTGCCTAAATTCCTCAGCTTTATGTTTTCAATTACTGAGAATAATACTGTCTTAGACTTCTGTATTCTTTCTGAAAGTTCTAGCATGGGTCATGGTTTTCCTCAAAGAACATGTGGATTATGTATGCAAGGTAGATGTGATCACCTAAAAGAAAGAATGAAATTGCCCTGAAAAGTGGGGAGGAGACAGTAGCCTTAACTAGGGTTGGCTAGTGAACAAGCAAGAGAATAGTAAATACTTCAAGTGAAGGAGAAAGCAAGACCTGGAAATGTTTTTACCATATTCAGTTCCACTTGAAAAATATGCCTGATTGGGGGCTGGAGAGATGGCTAAGCAGTTAAGAACACTGACTGCTCTTCCAGAGATCCTGAGTTCAATCCCAGCAACCACATGGTGGCTCACAACCATCTAATGAGATCTGGTGCCCTCTTCTGGCCTGCAGATATACATGCAGACAGAATACTGTATACATAATTAAAAAAAAAAGAAAATATGCCTGATCATTTAATTTTGTGTAGTGTCTTGCCCCAGGATGCAACCTGTCTGTTGAAATAACTGTTGGAAGGCATTGTGTCTTATTAGTCCTGAATGATGGTGGCTTAATACTAGTACAAAATGAAATTTTATTTAACTATGCTGAGATCAGATTGGTATAATTTTATAAATTTTAAATTTAATGTGAATCCATGAGGTGGGATTATTCTGTAATTTCCTTCCTTGTTTGCATATCATCATATTACATCCTTCATTTTCTTCCCAATGTAGAATACACGGACAGCCTCTAGGAAATAATCTCAGGAGTCAGTTAGAATACAGAGTAGACTCGAGAATAACCCTGTGAGGAAAGCTAGGAAACACAGCAGTGTGTGGAGCTCAGACAGTGGAGGATAGAAATAAGCAATAGGTGCCCATGATAGCCCTGCCTCAAACGGTCTAGAGCCTCTGATGTCTGACAGAATACTGTCTTTGCATCCATTATTTTTGAAGTATCTAATGTGTTTTCTAGAGAAAAAAAATAAGCCCTGTGATGCTTTTCAGTAAGACTTTAATCTTGAAAGGAATTGGGTCTTCTGAACAGTACTTGTCATTGCCTATCACTTAGTAAGTGTAAATACTGTGAACCAGGGATCAGATTAAATTCCTCTTCATCAATTTCCGAGAAGACATCTTTTCTAAATATAATCACTCAGTGAGCTCTCTCACAAAGCTAATTCATAGCTGTAAATTATTTTTCCATCTTTTTTCCAGTTAGAGATTTTTGATAAAGATGAGCTATCTGTTATAAATCATTGACCTTTCAAGGCTTTCATGCTGTTTTTGTGAGTATCCATACAATTACAGTGAATGAATAATGTCCATTACTGGGAACTCTAATCTAAGTAGTTCCAGGCTCACTTATCTTAAAAGAGAACTTAAGGAGACAGTCATTTATCACATGCTTATCATTGGGAAAAACCCTATTAATCTAAATTTTGCTCATTTTCAGAGAATTATTACAGATGTAATCCTGTCCATCAACATGTGAAGACGGAAAAGGAGTCTTGTCAGTGTAATGACCTTGGGAAAGTGCTTTATGACCCCTCCACATGTGCACTTTATAGAACAAGTCAAACTACAGAAAACTCTAATAACTACACATGTAGTAACAACAAGGATGCCTGTACTGACTCATCAAACCTAGATAGACATGAAAACATGCACAATGGAGAAGAACTTTGCAAATCTAAAGACCATGGGAAAACTTTAAATTTGTGTTCCATCATTACTCAAGATCAAAGACTCTTCACTGCAAAGAAGGAGCACAGGCAGGGAGAATATGATGACTATTTTGCCTCTGCATATAGTCTTTTGCAACAAGCAATTCGAGAGACACCACACCAATGTGGGAAATGCGGAAAATGCTTTAGGACTGCCTCATACCTCACTGAACATGAGAGAATTCATACTGGAATTAAGCCCTACAAGTGCAATGTTTGTGAAACATCCTTTACCCTGCTTTCAAGTCTTGATATACATCTAAGACTTCATACTGAGGAGAAACCTTACAAATGCAAAGAATGTGGAAAGTCATTTCATCAGTTGTCAGCATTTCATAGCCATCTGAAATTGCATAATGGAGACAAACCTTACAAATATAAAGAATGTGGCAAATCCCTTACCCACTCTTCCACTCTCAAGAAACGTCAGAAAAAGCATGTTGTTAGGAGAAATTATATTTGTCAAGAATGTGGCAAAGTCTCTCATAGTCCTTCACACTTTAAGGATCATTCCAGAGTCCATACTGGAGAGAAGCCTTTCAAATGCAATGAGTGTGACAGAGCCTTTCCCCACTATTCATCATTGAGTAGACATAGGAAAACTCATAATCCAGAGCAAATGCACAAATGTAAAGAATGTGGTAAGTCCTTTCTTGAATTATCATATCTTAAAACTCATTACAGAATCCATACTGGTGAAAAGCCTTTCAAATGTAAGGTATGTGACAAATCCTTTACCTACCACTCAGCCCTTAAAACACACCAGAAAGTTCACACTGGGGAGAAGCCTTACAAATGTACGGAATGTGATAAGTCTTATACTCGATTCTCATCTCTAAGAGCACATCAGAAAATTCATACTGTAGAGAAACCTTACAAATGCAAAGACTGTGACATGTCCTTTATTGATCTTGCAAGTCTTATAAAACATCAAGGAGTTCATACTGGAGAAAGACCTTACAGATGTAAGGAATGTGACAAATCCTTTACCAGTTTCACAGTTCTTAAAAGACATCAGATAGTTCATACTGGGGAGAAACCTTACAAATGTATGGAATGTGAAAAGTCCTTTACTCAGGAGTCAAATCTTAGAAGACATCAGAGAGTTCATACTGGAGAGAGACCTTTAAGTTGTAAAGAATGTGACAAATCTTTTACAAGGTGCTCCTACCTCAGAGCACATCAGAAAATCCATACTGGGAAACCATACAAATGCAATGACTGATATATCCTTTATCCTAATTTTGAGTCTTAGAAGACATTAGTAAATTCATACTGGGCAGAAACATACCATTGTAAATAATGTGACATAGCATTTTCCAGTTCTCTGCTTTCAGATCACAGCACTACACAAAATAGAAACATAAATTTGTGAAAATCTTTAATGAAGGCTTACATCTTAAAAAATATTCTAGAGTTTATATTAAATAAAATTCTGGAAATATAAGAGTGGGAAAAGCTTTTTTATTTCTTTCAATGTATATACGTGCTTTGCCTGTAAGTATATCCATGCACTACATGTATGCCTAGCATGGGCAGAGGACAGAAGGGGTCATCAGATCCCCTGATGTGTAGTTACAGACCATTGTTAACTGCCGCACTTGAGTTGGGAAGTGAACCTTGGTCCTCTGGAAGGGCAAACAGTGGTTTTACACAATAAACCATGTCTCCACCCCTGGTCAAAAATGTAATAAAAACATTTATCTTGTTCAACATCCAAAAATTCATAATATGGCAGGTGTGGTGGTACACTTCTTTATTCCAAGCACTCAGGGTGCAGAGGCAAGAAGATGTCTGTGAATTGGAGGATATCATCATCTCCATACTGAGTTCCAGGACAGCAGAACTACATAAACTCTTTGTCAAAAAATAAATCCTAATAGAGTTACATAAAAACTATGACAAAACTTTTAGTTTTCTTTCTAATTGTGTTGTATATCACAAAATTCATACATCTGAGAAACCATATAATGTTAGAGAGTATATACTCCCCATGTCTTTCTGTCTGTTGGAAATTACACCTCCCCAACTGCACTGAATTTGACAAACTATATAAATAGTGCTGTATTTGCAGAGATAAAAGTAAATTCATCAAAAACATTCTGATAAATTCTTTTATTCATCTTCAAAATCATACTAGATTCAAACCTTACAAATAGCAAGAAAGTAATTGTGAGGAGATAGGCTATGAATGTGACATCACTCAAATATTGAGATACAACTTAGAAATCCCCAAACACTTAAGGATGTGGTGACATACACCTTAAATCCCGGCTCTCTGGAGGCAGGGGAAGGCGTGTCCTTGTGAGTTCTAGGGCAGTATTGTCTACATTGCAAATTCCATGTCAGCCAGGGCTACTCAGGGAAATCCTATCTGGAAAAAACCAAAACAAGATAAACAAATCTCTAAGGGCATGCAGGAATTCATTTTGAAATACTTAACCAAAATTGCGGAGGATTTACTTGAAACTCTATAATAAAATGGTAAAACTTGCATTGACTGCTAGTATACTTTCACTGAGATAAAGGAGACATGTGAGACTCACCCTAAGCCATAAAACAATGGTAATTACCCCAGGCTTATACAGTTGTTTGTTCTTAGTAGTTTTTGAAGTGTTATGAATCTATGCTTTAGCAACTACCTACTGCAAGAGGAGACTTCTTTCTGGAATGTTGAGAGTAATACAAACATAATTTTAAACATGAATATTTAGATTTTAGATTAATGTTCATGACCATTATCAAAACATCAATAGCTTCTGCTCTACAACCTATAGTTCCCAAATAATATTTTTGTTTTTGTTTTTTTTTTTACCATGGCATGAATTCCTCTCTGTGGTGAAGGATTGAAATCCAATCGTGAAAGAATTTGTTTATGTCCATAAACAGTGGTACAAGTTTTGCACCAATACTCACACATTGTCTAGCAGGTTATTGTAAAATGCATGGCCCAGCCGTTAACTAGACTATTGACATAATTTCTCTGCCAATAGTCTGTACAGAATCTTACAGTGCTACAAAAGCTAGCCAGCAGGGGGAGTCACCTGGCAAGTTCAATATTGCTCCATATCTTGCAACCAAACTGGTGTCTTCAGCTACAACATGTACTTATGGTCCCAAGAAAGAGCACTGGGAACGACCTGCTTTGTTTAGGGTGATGATGGGACCTCCCTGATTAGTAAGTCCTGTAGCATGAATCTTAAAAGGTCTTATTAATAAAAACAAACCTGAAGCCAGGTATTGGGGTGAGCACAGGAAGATCAGAGAAGCAGAACAAGCCACAGTCACCTCACCTCACCAATTCCTCAGCTGATCTTGTTTCCTCAGACTGGAAGCCTCTGTGTTCTCATCTGAATGGATCTCAGCTGAACTGCTGCTAAAAGCCTAAAAGCTTAACTAGACTCTAGTTCCTGGTCCTCACGCCTTACATACCTTTATGCTTCCTGCCATCACTTCCTGAGATTAAAGCCTTGAGTCACCATGCCTGGCTGTTATCAGTGTGGCTTTGAACTCATAGAGATCCAGATGAATCTCTGCCTTCGGAATGATAGGATTAAAGGTGTGTGCCACCGGTTTTTCTGGCCTCTGTATCTAGTGGCTGTTCTGTTCTCTGACCCCAGGTAAGTTTATTAGGGTGCACAATATTTTGGGGAATACAATATCACCACAAAGTCCTAGGCAGGTAACCAGTACCTGGTACAGAGAATTCAATTATATAGCCTCAGTGTCTGGGAGAAGCATTATTTACCCTTTGAGATACCTTTGTTTAAAGTTTACTATTAATTTATAAGATAGGGTGTGGTGATTCATTTTAATCTAGGAAATAAAGCTTCCCTGAAGATCAGAGGTCAGAGCTAGCCACAGGGTTAGCCATAGAGGTCAGGCAGTGGTGGCACACACTTTTAATCCTAGTACTCTGAAGGCAGAGGCAGAGATTCATCTGAATTTCTGTGAGTACAAGGCCACGCGAGCTACATAAGACTGGTCTAGTCTAAAAGAGAAACAGAACTGGGCAGTGATGTTATATCCCTTTAATCCCAGCACTAAGAAGGTAGACACAGGAAGTAATATGCCTGGAAGACAAAGGAATCTAAGGAGGGAAGAGATAGGAACTAGCTCTCTTTCAGCTTGAGGAGTAGGTGAGGTAAGAGATGCTAGCTTTGGTTTGCTGTGCTTCTCTGATCTTTTGGCTTTCACCCTGATATCTGGCTCCAGGTTTTTTTTTTATAAGACCAATTAGGATTCATAAAACATCAGGTGTCCAACTTTTGGGGCATGAATTCACAAAACCTGCTTGCTTTTGGCTTTGCAGCCACTGAGTCAGGCCAGAGCTACATGCAGCTGGAGTCTTCACTGTGCTTGGGCCAGAGTCCCTACCCTGCTGGCTAAGTTTCCATTGCAGCCTATCTGCAGCAAACTTCTGAGCACCAAATGCAACAGGGGTTAGCAGCTTTTGCACATTGCTCTGTGCAGACAGCTGTCTCTGTTGCTTCTTTCCTGGTGGGTTATGGCTTTCTCTGTATGCCACTCATTGGTCTGTTGCCACACCATCGTTTGAATAATCATTGTAAGCTGGTTTGGTAAGTCAACTGGGATTTCTTAAAGAGGGAATTAGTTAAAGAGAGTTTTTTTCCCCCCACATTAAAAGTGGGAAACACTATTACAATGGAAAGTGTTTGGTCTTTGTTTGCTAATATACTAGATGTTTTGAAAATGGAACAATTTAAATGAGAGGAAAATTAACATAGATGGGATTTATGTAATGTCAGTTATAAACATTATTGGTTTGACCATTCTTCTTTTATCCCTAAAAAATGTTGGTTTATACTAGTGCCAAGATACAAGTCTTAGAAAAACTTATTAAAACAAATCACAGAAATATTCAGACCCAGAGAGAGGAATTTAAAGGAGAACCAATTTCAGCATTTCATTATAAGTTTACATAGAAACTGCCTACACCTTTCAAACAGCCAACCTGAATTTATCCAGTAACCTTACAAGAACTGCCAAATGATAGATATCCCCAAGAATATGTAAGAGTTGAATGGACTCCTGTGCAAATGATAGATGTGAGGAGATTCAAGAAAGCAATTGTCTCATATTGCAAGGACTCATCTTTTGTGAAGGAGATGTTAAACTTTTGGTCAACTTGTAATAGAATCATCCCTCAAGACTGGAGAGAGTTTGTTACAGCAGTTGTGGAGCCTGGTCCCCAATTACAATTGAGGACCTGGAGGAAGGATGAGGTTAAGGCCATTGAATAATGGAGTAGGGCTAGAGGTATTGAAATTTCCCAGAATCACCTTCTTGGAGAAGGCAGTTATGCTGATGTACAAAGATAATCTTTATATGATGTCCACACCAGGGCTTTATGCCACACAGCATATACTTGGAATGCTTGGAACAGAATTGAATTAGAAAAGAAAATTGAGTCATTTAAAAAAAGCTATACAGGGTCCAAAAGAAACCTTCACTGATTTCTTACAAAAGCTGTCTTCAGCAGTAAATGGAATGATACCAAATTCAGAAGCTAGACAAATAATAATTGAATCTCTGGCTTTTTAAAATTCTAATGCACAATGCAAAATGGTAATTAGGCTGTTTAAGGCAAGATCAGTACCCTTGGAGGAATGGATGCAAGATAAAATAAACATTGAATCTCATGACCACCATGGTGCTTAGATAGAAGAGATGATTTCCAGAGGTTTGAAAAAAAATAGTAATGTCAAAAGTTTCAACTGCAGTTAACAAGGTCACCTAACAAGGTGCTGTAAACAGGGCATTCCAAGAAACAATATTTTTTTCAAGGAATAATCCTAACAGAATGCTCTCTGTTGCTAGAGTTTTCCTGCCTGGCCCACAGTCAGGGCAAATCTCTCTCACCTGCCAGTCCCACAGCCATCAGACCAGACCAAGTAAACACAGAGACTTGTATTGGTTTCAAACTGTATGGCCATGGCAGGCTTCTTGCTAACTGTTCTTTCAGCTTAAATTAATCCATTTTTATAAATCTATACCTTGCCACATGGCTCGTGGCTTACCGGCATCTTCACATGCTGTTTCTCATCGTGGCGTCTGGCAGTGTCTCTCTGACTCAGCCTTCCACTTCCCAGCTTTATTCTCCTCCTTGTCCCGCCTACACTTCCTGCCTAGCCAATGGCCAATCAGTATTTTAATTATTGACTAATCAGCAACACATTTGACATACAGAACATCCCACAGCACTTCCCCTTTTTTTTTTTTTCAAAAAGGAAGGTTTTAACCTTAACAAAGTAAAATTACATATAATTTGGGAATTTGGGCGTAGCTTCTCTTACTACTTCCTGCTGGAGGGGGGCGCTGTATCTTATGGGGAAACAAAGAAAATTTTAGGATTATGGAATAGTCCATGAGGCTGTATTGTCTGAGCCAGTTGCCTTCAAACAGTTCTAGATGTTGGATCATTTG